CCTCCGGTCCTATCGATATAGTATTATAATTAGTATACTCGGGTACGATAGTAAAATAATAGCTAATATTAAGGGCATACTACTTATAATAATATATATATAATTCAATACTAATGATGTTTTAAGAATGAGTATAAAATCACTTATAGATATGCAACGAAGTTTTCTATTAACCAATCAAATGGTGTGAAGTAATTAATGTGAATGTATATCTTCCCTATCACACTTTTCACTTTGAAGAAGCTTCAGCATCTATACAAACCATCTAAATCTCTCGACTTCTAGTATTCTTCTATATCAGCTATTTCTAAAACGAATTCCAGAATTTGAAGTAATGCAATTGGATACACAAAGCTAGAGATGGAATTGCAAAAGATGTCTTGAAGAAGCTAGATGTGCAACAAACATTCTTGGTAACCAATGAAATATAATGAGACGATTAGTGGAAAGTAGATATTCCTCTAAAAGCTCTTTCAAACCCTTCAATTTTCTCGTTGAAGCTGTACTAGTAAATAATCACAGAGTAAATATTTCTGGAGGTTTGGATATAATGTGTATTAGCTATTTTCAAACCTCTGTACCAAATTTTGATTTGTTAGGATAGATCTAAGAAGCTAGGGGTGGGATTGAAAAAGAGGTCTTGAAGAAGCCTTAGGTATGCAGCAAAACTTGGTGGAATATACTAGTGGAAGTATATTTTTCTGGCTAGTTTCTTAAGAAAAAGACAATTTTCACTTTGAAGAAGTACCAGTAGTGATTCATTTACTCTCTGTACTTGGATTTCTTGCAATATATATACTACCTGATTCTAAATATATATACAGACTTTGAAAGTATTTAGCTGGAAGGAAGAGGAAGATAATGTGATTTGAAAAGAGGGTATACAGAAGACCTCAGATATGCAACAAACAAACTAAAGGAAGCCACTAGCATGAATATCATTCTCTCAAATTCAGCAACCTCAGCTTTGGAAGGATACTAGTCTACAACGGTTCAAGTTTCTTGTATTCTTCTTTTGTACAATTGTGTATCTGCTATTTTTAAATCACTCTGAACAGATGCTACTGGATTTGGGGAAGTACATGAGGTAGGAGATGAGTTACAAAAAGGGGTGTATGAATACTTCATGTATGCAACAAAACTTGATAGAAGCCACTGGTGCAAAGTATATTCCTCTCCACCATCCTTTGAAATTGAAGTAATTTCGACTTTGGAGAAGTACTAGACTCTAATGATTAAAGCTTTTGAGGTGCTCTCTTTATAAAATTATTTATTAGCCATTTTTGTATCCATCTAGAGAATTTTGAAACTTTCCGGCAAACATAGGTGATTGGGATGGAGATTTAAAAGGTGGTATGTAAAAGGCCTAGACGTGCAATAAAACTAAGAAAATACCACTAGATTACTAGACTACTAGACCATTAGTCACTAGTGAGAATCTCCCAATGTGCTCTTAAATCCTACAGTTTCAACTTTGAAGAATTACCAGTCCCCAACAACTCAAGATCTTAAGGAACTATTTTCTTATAATCATTTATTAGATTTTTCTGCATCTATCTACAAACTCTTGGAACTATCCGGCAAACACAGATGATTGGGATGGAGATTCAAAAGGTAGTGTTAGAGAGAGGCCTCAGATGTGCAACAAAATCAAGAAAAGACCACTAGAGCACCTCCCAAATCCTACAATATTGACTTTGGAGAAGTCCCAGTCTTCAATAACCGGAACTTTTGATATATTCTCTTTGTACATTCATTTATTAGCTATTTTTGTATTTATCTGCGAAGTTTTGAAACTTCTTAGGATATACAGATAGTTATAATAGCGATTGAAAAGGTAGTATCTTGATAATTACTCTTAGATATATAACAAAAAACCAAGGTAAGGCCACTAGATCACTAGTGAGAATCTCTCAACGGGTCCTCAATATTACAATCTCAACTTTGATAGAGTACCAGCATTCAGTAACTTAATGATTCCAGTTTCTATCCTTATAGAATTGTATATCAGATATTTCTAAATCTACCTGAAGAGTTTCAGATCATCCAATCCAATTCTAATGATTATAACTGGGGGTTGAAAAGTTAGTATCTAAAGAGCCTCAGACATGCAACAAAACCTTCTATATTCACTAGTGCCACCACTTATGGAAGTGTATCTTCAATACATCCTTTTGGAATCAACAATTTCGATTTGGGAGAAGTACCAAGGATCAACAACTTGATATAATATCTCGTTACTTCCTTCAGGTAATCGTATATTGGCTATTTTCGAATCCAGTTACTATTGTTTGAAGAAATATGAATATATCCGAATGATCGAAACAGTGATTAGAAAAACATATATCCCAAAGAGCCTGAGATATGCAACACAAAGGTGAGAGCTGGAGCTATTGAGCTTGAGGTTAGGTCTCCTTAAACCAAAATCAATAGAGAAAAAATCACTAATGCGGAGTTTGGCAAGGTGCTGGTATAAGGAATTGGGGATGGATATAAGAAAAAGGCATGAGGCTGGAGATCAGATGTCTAGAGATGTACTTGGCTGGATATAAGCGAACCTCCAAATCTCAGGGTCAAAATAGCCAGTTTTGTCTTTGGGAGAGGATAATGTATCAACTACTTTAGATGAGCTCTTTAATTATTGATATTACTATAGACCTGCTATTTTCAAATCGATTTATATATGTTTCGAGGGGTCTGGCTCAGCTAGGTGATGGATATAGCGATTCAGAAAGAGAGTATCAAATGATCCTCAGATATGCAACAGAATTTCTTGATATAAGCTAGTGGAACTTCAGATTTTAAGCATAAACTACTATCTTTTATGTTTGCAAGAGAATAGCATCCGAACTACTCAGTAATTGATTTCAAGGTCTTGATACAGTTATACATTCGCTATTTTTAAATCTGTCTATGTGATTTTCTTTTGATTTGGTCATGTCTATATTGATCAATCTAGCTCAGAAGAAGATGTGTAGGAATAGCATCAGATATGCAACAACTGGTAAGAGCTAGGAAACCTTAAGTTGGACTGCCAAAACTAGCACTTCTGACTTTGAAACATAATAGCGTAGCAGCCGTTCAGTTTCTTCCTGAAATTTTGTAATATTTTGAAAGATCTACTATTTTTCAAGCTATTTATAAAGTTTGAAACGACTCAATTAGTTATCAGACTCAGGATCCAGGCTCAAAGAAAGGGTACAAAATTACCTTAGATATACAACAAAAATATTGATTTGGAGCTAGTAAACCTTAAGGTGGAGGGCCAAAACGATCATTTCTGCCTTTGAAACTTGATAGCACAGCCATTTGATATTTTTCTTTTCTGTTGTGATAATATGAAAAACCTACTATTTTTCAATCTATCTAGAGTTTCAAGAGGTTTAGTCAATTGTTGGACTTAGGACCTATTACTCCAAGAAAGAGTATAAATTTACGTTAGATATGCAATAAAAATAGTTGATTTGAAGCTAGTATACCTAATTGGAGGCTCAGAATAACAACTTCATCTTTGAATATATACAGTAGATCGAGTATACAGAAATATGATATAGAAACCAGATATATATGAAGTTTACCTTCTTTTGAATCTACTCATCAATTTTCAAATTATTCAAGTGTGCCTGGGTGATTGAGATTGGACTTTCTAAAGAGGGTATCAAATGGCCTCTAGACGTGCAAAAAAACCAGCTGATGCCCTTAGCCTACCTCTATTTAGCCAATCATAGCTGATCAAGTTGGAGCTTCAAAACTTCAATTTATCACTTCAAGCGCATATAACAAATGAAGCATCGAATATTTCAGAGCACATATCATATGAAAAGATAGCGTGTCTTCTTTTAAGATTAGTTAAGAGCTGATTAGGAAGTTTCTGCATATCTCAGTATTTGAATTTCATATTTGAAAATGTGGTATCAAATCACTACTAGATGTGCAACAAAACAATCAGGACTAGATAGTTTGTTTAGCTCCCTTTTACTACTAGTGAATTTGAATATTCAGCCTGAACATTACATTGACTTGTTATCTATTTCAAAAATGTATAGCATATAAAGCAGCAAAGAGACTAGCTTGCGCATTGAATAAATAGATAATTCATCTTCTTC